CTAAGCAAGAACTATTTCACAGGAAGTGCTGCCAGTTCTAGGAGAATGGCTCTGCATGAATGAGACCTGAAGAGCAAACACAGGAAAGCATGAAAAGCACCTACCAGCCCAGGGTCAGAAGTTCCCAGACTGTTCTATGGTTGCACTGATCCGTGCATTGCCAGGCTACCTGTTTGCTCCCAAGACTTACTTTCTAGGATGAGCTTCTCTGTGGAGGGCTGTCTTCCCCTTCTGTCTCCCACTGCTGGGGGATATCGAGGGCTCCCTCCACTTTTCCAGAAGCCTTTCCAGGAAAGAGCCTGCCCAAGTGTGTTCCTGATGGTCAAGTGGCTTCAGAGAGGTTGACATCTGCTACTGCATGCCCTGAAATTTTCAGGTCGCGGGATCCTGCCTCTATTCTAAACTACCAAGTTCAACAGTGTACCATTCCTGCAGGCGGCTTCCCAGAAGGTGCCAGACTGGGAAAGCGCAGAGCTGGGTGGCGGAACTCCCGCCGAAGGAGGCGTATTGGTCCATGATTGCCAGTGGACTGGTGACCCTGGTGCTCTTCCTCACACATTTATTTCTTTTTATGGTCTCCCCTAGGTAGGAACTACATTAAATACAACACTGAATATAAGAGTGATATGCTCTTCACTTTGCCCGCTTTCAAGGCAAAGCTTTCAACACTTCATGATTAAATTCATTTTTTTTCTGTGGGGTTTTAATAGATATTTTCTATCTTATTAAATTAGGAAAATTATTTTCTATCCTTATTTGGTAATACATTTTTTATAATTTGAATCTCATCAAACACTTGTACTGCATCTATAAAAATAACTATACAATTTTTAAAAATTTCTGTTACATTGACTTTCAAATATTACATAAACATGCTGTCATGGAAAAGATCTCATTTGGTCCACTTATATATAAATATAAAAGAATACAGTGCTATTACTTTATTTATAATTTTTGCATGTATATATATAAAAGAGTTTTTTTATAGCTTTCATTTCTAGTAATTTCCTTTTGTGGGCTGGGGATTTAACTCAGTGGTTCCGGTGCCTGCCTCACAAGTGCAAGGACCTGAGTTCAATCCCGGGTACCAAACCAAACCAAACCAAAACAACCCCCCCAAAAAACAAACAAAAAATATCTTTCGAAAAAGTTTTAAAATGAAAATTATAAAAGACCTTATAATAGGTGCTTATTCCCTCTGCAATTGGGGTTCTGTTTAGTCTCTACCTATGCTATGTCTTCCAAAGTTTTAGTTATATACCACAAATTTAAAAATTAAAATTAAAGAAATAAAATTATTCCCTCTAAATTATTTCAGAAATATTGTATAAGATTTATGTTTCTCTTTTTAAAATATTTGTGACTAATTGTAGAGCCACATTTATTATTATTTTGTAAAATCATATTTATAATGAAACATTTAGTATTTCTATTTTTGCGTGCCTGACTTGTGATTTTAAAATAACTTAGTTTATAATAGATATCATGTTTACTGGTGCAGTTATTTTTTTAATTCATTAATTTTATTGGTACATTTTAGGTATACAATATGATGACATTCAAATTTGTAGCTTTACATAACCTATCTTGGTTCTTATGTTTTTTCCCCATTCCCCGGCCCTCCCCTCAACCCCTCCACCCCTCCGTATTTACAAAGACTTTGTTTCCATTCTTCCTTTTCTTGTATTTATTCCTTTCCCTTCTTTCCTTCTCCCTGCTCTTTCCCTCTTCCCCTTTGGACCTTTGAGGCCAACCTCTTAAGTGAGATAGGACACACTCGTAAATACTGATAGGTTTCTCTGGTGTGAGAAACTGAAAGTGTACATGCAGATCAAAGTATTTAATAGATAATGTGAAATAGGAAGAATTTATAGAATTTAGCAGTGAAGCCGTCAGGATCCAGGCTTTTCTTTGTTGGTAAGTTTTTAATTATGTTTTCAATTTCGTTGATTGGCATTAGGTTGTTTAGAACTTTTAGGTCTTCTTAGTTCAACGTTAATAATTCATATGTATCTAGAAATCTGTCCATTTCTTCTGTATTTTTCATCTTACTGATGTATAGGTTCTCAAAGTAGGCATCGATGATCCTCTGGATTTCTGTTTGGTTCATTGTAATTTCATTCCTAATTGCATGGATTAGGGCCTTTTCTTTCCTTTTTTTTTTTGATGTTTGGCTAAGGGTTTGTCAATTTTGTTTATTCTTTTGAAGCACCAACTCTTTGCTTCATTGATTTTTTTTGTATTGTTCTTTTAGTCTCAACTGCATTGATTTCTGCTCTGATCTGTATAATTTCCTCCCTTGTATGAGCTTTGGGTTTGTCCTACTCTTCTTTTTCTAGAAGCTTGAAGTTCAGTATGAGGTTGTTCATTTGAGCTCTCTGTTTTCCTAATGTGAGTATTCACTGCTATGAATTTCCCTCATAAGTCTGCCTTCCTAAATTCTAATATGTTGTATTGGCATTGTCATTTAATTTTAGAAATTGTCTAATTTCTTCTTTAATTTCCTCTGTGACCCATTGGTTATTCATAAGTGTGTTGTTCAATTTTCACGTGTTCATGAAATTCTTGTTTCTTTTACTATTGATCTCCAATTTTATCACACTATGGTCTGAAAATATATGGGGGATAACTTCAATTCCTTTTCACTTACTTAAATATGTTTTATGAGCAAGTACGTAGTCTATTTTGGAGAACAACCGGTGTGTAGCCAAAAAGATTTTGTGGGGTGGAATACTCTGTAAACATCTATTAAGTCCATTTGTTCAAGAGTTTGACTGAGTTCTAGTACTTTGTGTTTATTTTTGTCTAGTTGATCTATCTATTTGTGATAGTAGAGTATTGAGGTCCCCCACTGCTATTATATTAGTGCTTATTTGATTTTTTAATGTCTGCTAGTATTTGCTTTATATAGTTGGGTGCAATAGTATTTGGTGCATATATATTTATGATTGTCATCTCTTCCTCTTGGATTGTTCCCTTTACAAGGAAGTAGTGGCCTTCTTTGTCTATTAGTCTTGGTTTGAAATCCATTTTGTCTGCAAATAGGAGAGCTACTCCTGCTTTTTGGGGGGTTCCTGTCATATGGAATATTGTTTTCCACCCTTTTACTTTGAGTTCAGTCAATGAATTCTTTTTGAATTAAGTGTATTTCTTGTATGCTGCATATTGTTAGATATTGGTTCTTGACTCATTCTGCCAATTTCTTTTGATTGGTTAATTGAGACCATTAACAGTGATGGTTATAACTGATATGCACTGACTTATCCTTGCCATGAACTTTTCCTGTTGTTGGATTCTCCCCCTTTGCATTTAATTTCTCATCTTGCCCGATGGATTCATTCTGTTGGGCTTCATGGTATTGTGACCCTCATTGTCTTTTCCTAGGATAGTGTTTAAAAGTTTTTGGAGTGCTGGTTTGGCATTCATGAAATTCCTCAGGTGCTGTCATGAAAGTATCTTACTTCTCCAGCAATTTTGAAAGAAAATATTTCTAATTTTGCAGGATAAGTCAACCTGGGTTGGAGGTTGTTTTCTTTTAGGGCTTGAAATATGTCATTCTAGGATCTTCTTGACTTGAAGGTTTATGTTGAGAAGTATGCTGTGATTCTCATGGGCTTTCCTTTGTATGTGATTTATTTCTTTTCTTTAACTGCTTATAGTATTTTGTTCTTCTGTTGGGTTTCTGGAATCTTGACTATTATATGCCTACATGTAGATTTTCTTTTTTAATCACAGCTAGCTGGAGTTCTATATGCTTCACTAATCTGTGTGTCAAATTATTTTCTTCCACTTGGGAAGTTTTCTGCCATTACTTCTGTGAATAGTTTTTTGTTTTTTTTAAATTTCATCTGCACTATCTCCTGTTTGTTCATTGACTCTGATCAATCTTATGTTAGTCTTCTTTGCATCATCTAGCAGCTGCTAGATTGATTTCTTGTGGTTTCTTGCTACTTTTAAGAAATCTTTCTTTTCCTTGTCACTAGTCACAATCCTGTTTTTTTTTTTTTGTTTGTTTGTTTGTTTTGATACCAGGGATTGAACTTGGGTCCTTGCACTTGTGAGGCAGGTAGCAGAACCACTGAGCTAAATTCCTGGCCCACATTCCTCTTCTGTATCTGATATTCTGTCCTCACATTGGCTCATTCTGCTGCACAAACTTTCAATGGAGTTTTTAATCTCCCGGATATCTGTTTGTATCTGTTTTATGGATTCTATTTGTTTCCTGTGCTGGGTTTCCATCATGTTACTCAGCTCCCCTATTTTTTAAAATCTGTATCTGCTCTAGAGTTATTCATCATATCTTCCACTATGGACACAATCTCTGTTGTTATCTGAGAAATTATTTTTGATTTTATTTTTTTCCAGATCCTCTTTTGTTGCCAGGTCAGGGAGTCCAGGTGGTTGAATTTCAGATTGTTTCATCTCTTTGCCCTTTGGAGTTGCCTTTGGTGACCTGGAAGTCTGGTTTGGAGTCTTGTTTAGGTGTATTCTCATTTCAACCAATGCAGTCTCCTGTGCCTTTATTGAGGTGACTCCTTGTTCTCCCAGTGGGCTTCAGTTCTAAACAAGGCCTTCTTTCTATTCTCACCACTGCTCCAATTCCTGGGCTCAGAACAACGGCCTTTTGGATCCTTGTTCTGTGCTGTTGTCTGAGCAGGCTCAGGCTAGGGCCTGCGCACACTTCCCAATGATATCTGGGTGAGCCTTTGGCTGGGGCCTGTGCATCCCAGCCTCTGTTGTCCAGGCGGACTTCTTGGTGCAGTGATTTATTTGCCACGTATATGTAGAATCTATAGTAAGTTGTCTTTTGCATTCCTGATATTTTGTTCATTTTCATCTTTCATATTTTTCGGTCGTTTTTTTTAATTTTATTAATCATTTTAAATAAGCAATTTTAATTGGATTTTCCATATTATGTTCCTGTTTTTATTTCATGAATTTTATCTTTCTTATTTCTCCTATTGTAATCAGTATTGATTTGCTTTTTTATTTTCTCATTTCATTTTAGTTTGTTGATATTGAAGCCTTTCCGTGTCCATGCTAAGAAGTTCATGCATTCCCCACAAGTGGCTAGATCATCTGTGATAGTTAATTGGTTATGTTAACCTGGGTGAGAAGTGCCCAACTAAACTGGATCAGCTGAGTTCTGGCTATGGCTGAGGGGACTTACGGAAGACAGAAGACCTGCCCTGGTTAGGCTTGCCACGTGAGAAGTATAAAAGGTAAACAAAGTAGGAAGGTCTGCTTTGTTTTTGTTTTTTTGTTTTTTTGAGAAGCTCTGGTCTTTACCTTCAACTTGGACATTGTCACTTGGCTTGCAGCACGAGGGACACTACAGTGAGCTTCAGGCCTTGGACTGGATCCTTTAGATCTCAGGTGTGTAGACAGCCCCTCCGCACTCTTCCACACCTGACTGTGGGCGGCCGCTGTAAGCCATTCTTGTAAATTCTTACATATTAATCTATCTGCATTCGATCTATTTCTCTATTGGGCATTGACTGATACACAATCTCTTTATTTTCATTAGTTTCTCTATTTTCTAATTTCTGCTATCTCTTCTTTGACCTATTGATTTCTTAGGAGCACACAATTTAATTTCTATTTAGGTTTTTGTACTTGAAATTTTACTTTAATTCCATTACAATCAGAGAGCTTAAAACAGATGATGTGAATTATTTCAAAGTTAAGGTATGATCAGTTTGGTTTATTGTACTATGTGTATGTGCACTTGAAAAGAATGTGGGTTCTTTCTTCAAATTTCTGTCTCTGAAGCCATGTCTATACTTAATACAATTTTAATTTTTATTCTATTGGCTTTTTATATTAACTTTCATGTTTTCAAGTTCTCAAGTCATTTTCAGAAAATAAAGTTGTGAGGACAAAATATATTATATAATTAGCTTTAATACACTGAACTTGTCATAAAAATGTTGTGTTACTGTTTCGGTACAATTGTATGAGTAGAATTCAATGGAAGCACATAGATAGCCATGTATGGGAAGGAACTTAATGTAAGATATACTATGCCATCTGTCCTATGAAGAACTATATGTCATACAAAGAATATGAATGAATTCTGGTAGATAATTAGAGTACAAAAGGTCAAATATAAAGACAATAAGAAAAAAGTTGTTATTTCCAAGATTTTGTTTTTTTCCTTTTAATGAGAAAGGATATATGAATGTTGAATTTGAAATCCATGTGAAGTGGATATTCCTAAAGATAACCTTGAAAATATGAACCATGATATAAAGAGTCAAAACTGAGATTTTAATTAAATTAAAATTTAATTTTATACAAAATTAAGAAATATGAAATGGTCTAGTAGAAGATATTTTTCCTTTGTGTGATAGACAAAAAATTGAAATTTAAGGGATTTCATCTAAATAATTAGGAAAAAGAACACCAAGAAGAGAAAAGGAACCAACTATCAGAAGGGAAAATCAAATGGCCACCAAGTATGAAGTAATGGTCAAACACATATAAATGACAAAGTGGGGGCCCTACATCATCCATGCTGCATTTCTAAAGTAAGTAAGGAGTGTTGGGGAGAATGAGAGGAAACTGGCCCCATGGGTCAATAAGTGAGGCAAAACAATGTAAAAAGCCATTCAAAACTACTATGAAGTCAGGAGACTATATATTTTATACATAATATCTTACTAGATTTTTATGGCGGTCCCTAGTGAAAAGTTCATGGAGATGTTCACTATTGCATTGTTTGTGGAAAAATGTGTTGAAGGCAATTTAGGTGCCCTTCCTGAAAGAATGAACAGTTATAATGCGGAGTATGATTATTGGGAAGGAGGAAAAATGGATGTGTACTGGGAATCTAAAGGATGTAAGCAAACAGAAGAATCTGTCCTAAGGAAACCCTAAGAAGAGACCATCCCTCCATCCCTGGACATGGGCCGCTGAGGCTCCCTGCACAGATGAGTGTGAGGACTCCAGGACTGCACCGGCCCCTGTGGAGCCACAGAAGGAAACTGCTGCTCCAGACACCCATGGCCCACACCTTTGTGAGTGCTGCACTTTAAGGAGAGTATCTCAGAGCTGGATTCTAGATCAAAGACTATGTCCACTCTACTGCCAATGTACCACACCACTCTGCTTCCTTCTTAGCTGTTTCCAAAAGCTTTCTTACATCTCATCCATTTTTACTTGAATTTAGAGTGAGTTAATCAGGTTCTAAAGGAAATCTATTGGGAATTTATGGTAGAATTGCCTTCTCATAAGGAATCCTAATTTAAAATCACATTAAATGAATAGCTTAATGGGGATAATTGACCCATTTTCAATCCAAGGAAATAATTTAGAAGCAAAATAATCTGAGAAAAATAACAAATGAAAATATTAAAGTGTTAACAATTATTTTTCTTGAGTTATGAGGCTAAATGTGCTTTTTTTCTTTCTGTCCTTTCCTAGGTTTCCAAATTTTCTTTAATATGCATGTTCTACTTTTATAGTAAAAGCAATTACTTAAAAAGTGAACCCTCTAGTAATAGAGCCAGGAGGGATAGTTATTTCCAAGATTTTATTTTTTTCCCCTTTAATGAGATGTGAGTGCTGCATTTTAAATGCCATCCATTATTATCAAAGTTAGTTGCCATGATTAGAGAAGGAGAAACGTTGATATTTTAGTTTTAGATTAGTAAATATACTTTCCGCCTTAGTGGAGCCATGTTTAAAAACCAGGTGGGCCTTGTTACGTGGCACAAGCCCTGAGGAATGCACCTCTGCTGCTCTCTGAATGGAGTATGTGCAAAACCACAGCCCTGTTCCCTGTGTCCTGACGCACCTCATGCTCGGTACTCAGAAGCAAAGATGAGGGGACTCTCAGTGGGCAACATCAGCCTGGCTTGGAAGAGGGATGAGTCAGAGATCTGCACTTTTCCAAAAGTAAAGGAAAAGAAACTTTGGGGTTTTATCCTTACTAACAGATAAACAATGTCAATTTTGGTGGGGTGACCAACACCTGTAATCCCAGCATCTGGAAGGCTGAGGCAGAAGGATTGCAAATTTGAGCCCAGGCTAGGCAACTTAGCAACTTATGGAGACCCACTCTCAAAAAGATTTAAAAAGAAAGGGGCTGGGATTGTATCTCAGTGTAGGGACACTAGGTTCAATCCCCAGGACCACAACATCAACACCACCACCAAAAAATCAGAACAGTGTATGAAAATCCAGTTTGTCAGCTGTGTCTGAGTGGTAGAATATCTCTGGAGGGCAGTGATCACTGCCCACACGTGGGTTTCAACTCCATTTCAGTTCCACTTTCTTTTCTTTTTATTTGGATGATAAAAACATAGTGTCATGGAGACTGAGAAGGGGCAGGAGAGACACGTAACGTGAAAAAGCATTTGGACCTGGCATACAGAAATTCAAGGCATGGAGCCTGTCTTTGCACTACTGCCCCAGGCCTGAGAGACCGTGGGAAGTGAGTCAGCTGTCCCAAGACACCTTTCTGGAAAATTCTTTGGGAAGCCATCCCAGGTGATAACACTGTAGTAACTCCCTCCTTGCATGAGAAGGCGTGAATTGTGGGTTAACAAGACAAGGTGTTAATCTTTGAGTTTCATATCTCTCTGAATTTGATAAAAGGAGTACAGATAATCAAGTGCAGGGCATATCTATCTGACTGACATTTTACTCATTTATTTTTATTGCGGTCTGTCTGAATTGCAGCCACCATGCTGAGTGGACATAATTTAAGATGAGAAATGAAAGAGAGCAAATTTTCAGCTCTGGGATATACATGGCCTTCGAGTTATTCTAATTAATTACTTCTTACATTTCTGAACTTTATAGAGGCAAATTGCATAGTGCCTGTCAGCAACCTCATGAGGACCCACAAAGAAGCAGAGGCCCAGGCGTGAGGAGAAGGAAGGAGGGGGTTCCCTGCAGGCCGAGGCTGATCTTGTCCTCTGAGGGAGCAGCCATGTCGCTCTGTGACCCAAAGTTTAATGTCTGAGCTCAGAAGTAAGCCAGACACGGTGAGGGTGTGGACTGATGGCTTCCTTCCTTGCGTGTAGAGTCGGGGCTCAGCATGGAGGCCTGGTCTCCGAAGAAAACTCCCCTGTGGAGCAGCACTGCCCTCTCTGCTCCTTCATGTTACAATTCTCAGTCCTCAGCAGGAGCCAGACCAGGGGAGTCTACCAAGCCAGCTCTTTTCCAGAGGTGCCGTCAGGATGGATGTCCGTCTCGGTCCAGTAGTGTCCTCTCTCTGCTCCTTCCTTCTAAACTCCCTTGGGGCCCATTCTACCTGCAGAGAACACGGATCCTCAGTTGTCATATTTGTCATTCTCCAAGTGCCCACTCCTCTCTGACGTCTTACTTCCAGGGCACTTCCCATTTGGCATCCTGTCTCTCATAGCCATTTCTAGGAATAAAATGGTATTTTGCTTACTCTTGGACTTACTTTTTGACTGGGTAGACATCAACACCAGGATAGTATAGAATATTACTTGGCCTCCATATTAGGGTTTTGTTGTTGGGACCAAATACCCAGCATACACAACTTAAAGGAAGAAAGGTTTATTGTGGCACATGGTTTTCATGGTTCAGTCCATGGTCAGCGGGATCTAAGACAGAAACATCATGGAGCAAAGAGCATAGAGGAAGAAAGGCTGCTCAGCCTGTAACAGCCTGGAAACAAAGCACAGAAAAGCACAGGGACATAGGGCTAGGGACCAGATGTAGAATCCAAGGTCACACCTCCATGGCCCACCTGGACCCACCCTGAGGTGTGCCTCATTAATCCCCTGGGTGGCTTCCAAGCCAACCAAATTAATAATCCAGCTTAATGGTCATAGCTGTGTGAACACAGTGGGTCATGGTACTGAGCAGAGATACAGAATCATCTTATATTTTCATGGCCTTTCCTGGCTTGTGTTCATTTCCTTCCTAACTTCTGGGGGAAAGAAAAGGGTACAGAAACTAGTCCATAGTCTGTTGCATTATAGGCTTTTATAGGCTTTTTATTGTTGTTGTATCAGAAATTGAACTCAGGACCTTGAGCTTGTGAGGCAGGTGGCAGAACCACTGAGCTAAATCCCCGGCCCCATGATAGGCCTTTTAATTAGTACACACAGATGTAGGGTGCTGCTCTGGAGGGGATGAGGCCCCATCCAGTTGTGTCATGTGATGAGGCCTCACACCAGCTCACCAGGTGCAACTGAGGCATTGCTTTCAGACTTTTTAGTCAGTGCTGTCACTTGGTAGTCTAGTGTTAGCAATGACGAGGGCGTTTACACCAAGGACACTGGCAGATGTACCCATCGGGACTGTTTTCTTTTAGATCTCTCCTTATCAGCATCCCACTTCTCCACCCCAAATATCTCCACACCACTTTTCACGTTAAAAAGTTGAAGACAGCACGGAACTTGGGGCTTGGAATTGTGCTCTCATCCAGGTAGCTCATACCCTTGAACTCAGAAGGAGAGTGAGAGACTGGAGGAGAAGTCAGAGATAAAACAAGCTCTTCGGACCTCTGGCGTCTGTCCCTTGTGGGACAGCTTTTTCTTTCAATTAACTCTTTCATCTCTCTGTACTTCACCTTTCCATTTACCCTTTCTTTCTCTGGATCTCCCCCTTCTTCCCACAGATAACATCAGCCCTAGCCACTCTCCCCTGCCTCCCTAATCACATCTAACAGGGGCTGACCCGGCCCACAGCTCCCCGTCAGTGAGCGGGGCTTCCCTTGGTTCTGAGGAGAGGAGGCCTTCTTTGCTGTGTGATGTAAAAGGGAGTGAGTAACTGCTCGTCTGTCTTCTCCAGCAGTGGTGCTGTAGATTGACCTAAGAGAAAACATAGCTATCACGATTTTGTATTTGTTCCAGAAGAACTCAGTGTGTGTTCATCTGAGGGGCTGACATTAGCAGAGGTCTCCTGCTGCAGATGCAGTGGTTCTGTCCTGAACCCATCCCTGCCACGGAGACCCATTAGAGCAGCCATCAGAGATGGAGAGTCCTTCAGCAAATAGACACTTCCTCCGAGCTTCAGCTCAGGCCTTGTTGATGACATATGTGCTGCACTCTGGTGAGGACATTTTCAGATAAGCTGTAATATAAGCAAAGGAAACAAAAGACCTCAGAGGTTTTAAAGTTCTGACTGGGCTACCTGAGGCAAGTCTGTGCCTACTGGTCACCCCAGGAAAGGGTGTCCCTTTATATAATACCCCTGTGGCCTGCTATTCATCGCTATGAGTGCCGCTGCTGCTCAGCAGCCTCTGCAGCGCTGGAGAAGTCTGCTGGAAGGAGACGACTGCAGCCCCAAATGACTCACCACTCTACTGCTAATCCAGAGTGCAATTAAAATATAGCTTTTGCCTGTAAAACCCACTTTACTTTATCTGCCATAATTTTTGGGAGGTACCCACTTGCTAAAGTTTAATTCTCAGCATGAAGAGGATTAAATACTTACACAATTCCAGCAGTCAAGAGGGGATTAGTGAAAGCATTCTAACTTTCGCTTGTTGGCATCTAAATACCACCTCCTCCAGTTCA